GATTGAAATCATGAGTCAGTTGAAGTTAGACCACCGTTGGAAACCTGGAAGCACTGGACGGCCGTTTCGTCCTAGTATGGGACTTCCAGGTTTTCAATGGTGGTCTAGCTTCAACTGACTCATGATTTCAATCTGTGAAATACTTTATTATTATTATCATCATCAGTATTTTTAGTACTATCGGTGTGATATGTACTACTTATATCGACATAAGTAGTACATATATATGTATAACGCTCGTCAGGAATAGAATGTCTGGCAGCAGAAGATCGACGAAGAAAGAACGGGAATAGAAAGTACTTGATATAGAAGTGAAGGAATAATGAAGTCTGAGACAATTGATTGACATATTGCAAATAAAATATTTACTATAATGGTTCTTAGATTTTATTAAGATGTTCTGTGATATTGTGTGTTCAAAAAACATTCATGATATCGCCTCAGGAGATTCAAACCCAGGATCAATCAGTCTCGCATGCAAACACTTAACCTCTAAACCATCGAGGCTGTGTTCTAGCTTCAATTGACTCATGATCTCAACTAATAAAATACTTTAATATTCACAAAAACCCTCCTTCTTATAATAATCAATCTGCTCATTAATGACTGACTTCAAGAGGTATATCCTGAAGTTCAAGTGAGAAGCCGTGATCAGTTGATTCATTACGGGAGAAATCACATTCAATGAAACGATCATTCATATCAAACTGCAAACTTCATTCAATCTTCCTTCCATGATATTAACCAATTAGAATAACACATGGCATATTTATATTATTGATCAGTTGTGAAATAGTCAACTTACAATTATAGGTTGGATAGTGGCTAGCAGTGGAATCCAGGACGCGCGTTTCGTCCTGTTTGGGAGTCGTCAGCTGGATGTACCTGCATCTCAGAGTTGATGTTCACTCTGAGACTCGAACTCAGTACCGTTCGCTTCAAACGCCATCGCGTTATCCACTTAGCTACTGAGTCCTGATAGCCACTTGCTTGTGCAATGGGTTGAAGTTTAATTCACTTGATATTGTTTTACTTGAATTTTCCCATTGATGTTTTTGAACTGAAATTGATCAGTGGCGCATCCTGGATTCCACTCCTAGCCACTATCCATCTTTGCTGATAATGCTTGTAAATTAAGGCAATATCGAGGCATACGCACAGTATGCACATATGCCAATAAGAGACTGATCAATTTCAGTCCAAAAACATCAATGGGAAGATTCAAGTAAAACAATATCAAGTGAATTATAACTATAGAGTTCCAACGTTAAGTTTTCATAAATTGTTTTTAATAATCAGATGATATTCATTTGGTGTTGGTTTACTTGTATCTTCTCATTGTTATTTTAGTATTACAATTGATCAGTCGCTTATTGGCATATGTGTATCCTGTGTGGATTGCCTCGATATAGCCTTAAGTCACAAGCTTTTTAAGCGAATATAGTTAGTGACTAGCAGTTGAATATATTAAGCGTATTTCTGAGATGCAGGTACATCCACCTGACAAGTCTCAAATAGAACGAAACGTACGTCCTGGATCCCAATGCTAGCCATTATCTATCTTTGTCAATAATCATATTTCACTGATTGAAATCATGAGTCAATTGAAGCTAGACCATCATGGGAAACCTGGAAGCACTGGACGGCCATTTCCTCCTAGTATGAGACTGCCTAGCAGTGCGCACCCACGGTCCCGCACACAGCGGGGTTCGACCCCAGGACCTATCAGTCTTGCACCAGGCGCCTAATGAACTTGACCACTGGTCTGGCCAGCATTCAGCGGTGTTAAATTTTAACTTCAACCAATCCACGAAGTTGAGCCACCGTACACCATTATCTTCAGTGAGTTGATATCTTACAACAGACCTGGTTGAACTCCACTGGTCACAGTATCTAACTAGAACTCCAGGAAAGACCTCTTGAAGCCAATCACTAGTGAGCATATGGTGATTAATAACAAAAGAGGGTTTTGTGCATATTATAGTTGTTTCATTAATTGAGATCATGAGTTAATTGAAGCTAGATTGATAGGTTTTGGGTTCGAATCTTGCGAGGTGGGATCATGGATGCGCATTGCTGATGAGTCCTACACTGGAACGAAACGGTCGCCTAGTGCTTCCAGGTTTTCCATGGTGGTCTATCTTCAATTGACTCATGAATTCAATCAATGAAATTTCTAAAAAATCTCCACAAAACCCCTTCTGATAATAATCATATTGTTTTGATTTAATCAAACATAAGATAATGAATAGTTCAAGTGAACTTGCTTCATTCAATCTGATATTCTAACTTGTACATGTTAAATGATAAAAGTGATAATAATGCTGTTAAACATATTCGATACTAGTAGTTTATTGTAGTACATAATCAGTATGCATAATTAATTATTAAACATCAACTGAACGATTCATAATGAAATATATGTATTACACAATGGTGATTTAACTTAAATAGATTCAAGAATTCCAATGAAATTCAACAATCTCCAGAACTTTATACTAACACTTATGATGCCCTTCTCACTAGTGACTAATTTCATAATGAAACTCTTAGATTTCTGTTGAGTTGGCTTTCGGAGAACTTCAACGGAGCCTACAGAGGCCCAAAAGGAGCTGAAGAGTCTTAGCCAATGAGAGCATGATGGAGCATTCTAGAATTCCAAAGTGGCATGCTTCTATTGGTCAATAGCATAATATGTCGTTAACGGATTGGCCGAAATATGATGATACGTTAACATCTATAAATACCCATGTTTTCTGTACAAAAACGAACCTTAGATTAAAGTATTTCTCTCATACTTTGGGTCTTCTCGCTAGTGTTCAGGTCGCTGTTTAGTTCTAACTTCCGGGTTACCAGAATAGCTTAGGAAACAAATATAGCGTTCAATCGGCAAGACTTATCAATTTCTAATAAAAAAACCCCATAACCAATGAAGTTCAACCATATTGCATAGAAAACAGTTATCGAACACATACAATATATGATCATTGTGTCCATATCATGAATTGATTAAAGTTAAACACAGGAACAATAATGAATTCCATGTTACTGGTTGTTATAACGTGAAAAATAAAGCTGATTAAGGGTAGCGACGGGGATGGGATTCGAACCCACGCGGGAAAACCCCAATGGATTAGCATTAGGCTTAACAGGATAATTTTTGGGATATTTTCCTGAATATCCCAACACTGGTCTAGAAGTGAAACATTTATACGAAACCAAAAGTTCTTGGTTCGATTCTCAGTCGGGTGTGTGCGTGTGTGTGATTGTGTGCGTATGGATAATTACTATTCAGTATTCTTGTACTAGAACAAAACGATCATTTCTATTGGGTGATCTATTATGGATCTGGTTCATCATTTCCACAATATGACACAAGTTCATAAAAAAAACAATAAAGGACTATTTATTTCTTTACAAAGAAAAAAAACAAAAAAAAAACATTTTCCATATTAATTAATTACCATGGATTCATTGAAAGTTTTATTCAGAGATTTCAGTTCTCTATTCTAATGAATATCATTTTCAATAATTGAATTTTGATAAATCTTCATTAATATTTAATAAAATAGGTTTAGGTGCTGGTGGAGGTGGTGGTGATGATGATGATGATGGTGATGGTGACGATGATGGTGATGATGATGAAGGTGCTAAATGTTTTAATGGAAGATCAAAATGTGACCAATCTTCATCAATCGATTTATATTTCATCATTGATTCATTTAAATCATTAATAACTAGCTACAAAAAGACAAAAAAAAACAATAAAAGTAGGTTATTATCATTACAAATGAACAAAAGTTCCAAGCGGACTGTTTGAATATCTGGGTTATCTATTTTCTGTCATTTAGATATTTCACACATATACCATTTATTTATTTTAACACAGATATTGGTACAAGGAGGCACCAGATATATATGCGCCACACAATTCTCGTATGATATGTATGAGGGCTGTGATACTGCCCAGGTGCCCAAACCGAAGCAGGTGGTTTTTTTAGAGGGCCACACCCCGAGCCTTTGACCTGAAAGTCCAATCCACAAGGCAACGTAAGAAAGATGCAGTCGCATGGTAGCCGGTGACCAACCACTGGTTCATACGCAATTTGTTTCTTTAGGATACTGGAGCCCATGTTCACCATTGATTTGGAATCAGTTTTTTTTAACTCTCTTAGGTGAACTCTCCATGTCCACCAACCCTGTTAAAGTGCCGGACATTCGCTTTTCATCCTCTCAATTTCGTAAACAACACCCCCGCCACGAGAAGGCAGTGAGTAGGACTTCCTTGACAGAGGCTATATATATTTCACACAAGTTATCTATTTTCTTGTTTGTCATTATACCTATTTAGTCACATAATCTATTCAGGTGAGTTTGTGAAAAGTGTACAACTTATTTTTATACAAGTTACAAAATAGCCTAATCAGAGACACCATAGTTGATAGCAGGCAATATGCATTGAAACGAATGAACATTAATCAGATATCGATTTCTGAACTGCTTACTTCTAACTGGCGATCATTCAATGTATTATCGTCAGGATAGATAAAGATATATGAAGAGGAAAGGTGTTGAATTACTTTATGCTGAGAATTCTATATTGTACCAAAAATATAATAATGAATAAAGCCAATAATAATAACAGTAAGTCAGTAACAACGTAGAACATCGTACGTACATACATCAGTTCGAGTTGCCATGCCACATTAACACAGAGATAAAATTGTCGATTCAAATCCCATAGTGATATAAGTAGTAAGAGTATAATCAGTAATCAAAAAGATTAGGGTTTCAAGCTGTTATTCAAAGAGTATTATCCAGTAAAATAAATTTGGAATGAGAAAAAAAGGGAAATGAAGAATTCAGAAGGTGAGGATTTTGGAGAACACAAAGAGTGGATGCACCTGCACCATTGCAAACGATTTTGAGCCATGTCACATTCAAGGTCTCTAACCATCGGTCGCTATCGTCTCGCAGGTCCCAACCAGGTAGTCTACACCTACCAACATGACTCAGTCCACTTGACAGTGATTTCATGGATTTGTGCCACGTTTTGGTATGTATAGCGACAAATAAATCTTCAAAATAAATAGTTCTTTAAGTCTTTGAAATAGATTCTGACGTTACTGGTTTTACTAGACAATTCCAAGCTGAAGGTTCTCGGTCATGCATCAGTATAGGATTATCATTGGGTACACTGGACTAAGCATTTCCTAGCAATAACTAGTTGGTTTACATCACATACACACACACTTCATAACTTATCGAATATCTTTCAAAAAATACTCCTTTATTTCTGACTCCTAGTTTGATTGTGTTTAAGATCCTTCGATTATAAAGTTGTTATGAACAACAACGTTGTCAAACTCTGAATATTCATGACATCTTTATCTATATTTCATAGGAAATTTAGACTTCTCTTAAAGCAAATCAATATTTTTTTCATTATTTAACATACCATATGAATAACATTCTGTTCACTTTCTCAAACGCATTGGGTGAGACTATAATTTCTGGATGAACCAATCAAGCATACGATAACAGATCTCGGATTTTGGCACGAAATTCGTTCATCCGTTAGGCTGAATAGTCTTTTGGCATTATAGATGATATTAGCTTGTGATGAAAACGCCTAAATCTAATTCCTAATTTTAGCCATCAACTGTAAATCGTAACTCTAGTTCCTCACCCTGATTTATAACACTCATTTAGCTCTAGCAAGTAGATAGACACTCTCCACGTCACTTTACCGTCGCTGAAAGGTCGTCCATAAATTATAGTCCCACCGAATTTTCTAGTTGAGTGGTTCTTTGAGAAATATGTTACTTTTTTAAGTTAATGGATGGTATAATATTTCGAGTTATCTCTAAAAACATATTTTATTCTGTTGAGGAGACCGTGAAAATTCCTCGAAAAACAAAACAGACCAAAAGAGGCCCTGGAAACAGTAGATAATATTTTATCCAGTAAGCGTTGATAGAAGTGTCTTAGAAAGATGTGGAAAATGAAATGTCACCTGTCACATTTTCGAATAGATGATTACCTATACTGCTATTATGTTTCTGAGAGTTCTGAAACTTTCCAGAAGTTGAGGGCCGTCTGAAATGCTATAAATACCCTCAATTTACTTGTACATAAACTAGCCTCGGAGTAAGGCATACTTTGCATATTACGCGCCTTTTCTTCTTCTCTGTTCAAATCATTGTGTAGAGTGAGCCTGGCGATAATAATACAGTTTATGAAACTAGTTCATTCGTACAGTTAGAAGATATGTATTATGTTCCAATGTAGATTGTCATCCTATTCTACTGTGTTCAATTTCTTAGAGGCATTATTTCATGTTATAGAGACAAATATTGTAATTATTTTAAGATTACGTACTGACTGACGAACTCTATCCAATTCAAGTCAAATTAATGAAATTTACTTCAGGTAGACGTTGTAAAGATTGCATTAACTGAAAATGGCGAATAGTCGAACATTATTAAATTCTAAGCTGTCAGTGAAGCAACATTAATATGAACTGGCAACCATTTTCAGATTTTAAATATAAGGGGATTTGTACAGACTGTAGAATGTCTTAGGTTTGATTCCTGAATACTGGATCAAGGATGTTCATTGGTGAGGTGTTGCACGCTAAGAAATCGGTGCTGTTCATTTCTTCCTGGTTTTCAACGATCGTTTGACTTAGAAGTTTTTCTATTAAAATCTAAAGGTTAACATTGAATAGTTTAGATGATTTATCAAAAAAGCTTTTATATTCTTACTAATGTTCTTCACTTCATCAAAACTATCAATTAAGTATAAATGATATATCAATGACAAACCTGATTTAACCAATTTTGTCTTGGAGTTGTTGTTTGTTTTAAATACATTTGAGATAATTCTTTATTGATTTCAGTAGATTCTATATTATTATGATTATTATTATGCCTTGAAGACCATAGATTAGATGGAGGAAATGATGAACAATATACAGGTGGATTAGGTGCAGGACCATGTGGATCAATAGATGGTGGTTGATATACAATAACAGAAATATCTTCATTGATTTGAGATTTTTCATTCTTTTGTGGTATACTCATATAACCGGATTTTGTATTGTTCATCTGAAAGGGTATAATAGATTGAAAAAAAGTATCGTGGATTAGTTGAATTTAGACATTAACACTGTTGGATACCGGTCAGCTGTGGTCTAGTGGTTAAGTGCTCATGCGTGAAACCAATAAGTCCTGGTTTCGAATCTCACAGGGGGCGAGGTCATGGATACGCACTTTTGAGGAGTCTTACAATAGGACGAAACGGCCGTCCAGTGCTTTCAAGTTGTCGATGCTAATCTAGCTTTAACTGACTGATGGTCTTAACCATTGAAATTATTATAATATCCACAAAACCTATCTGATATATATATCCTTTACTTTAGCCTTTACAGAAAATAGATATAACTGTAGGTCATATTCTTTACAATCAAATGTATCATCGAACACATTCATTTGTAGTTCATCAAATAATTTATTCTAGTCAAATTTCAGGATTCTCTATTCTTTGTTTCTAGAGAAACCTTACTTATTTGATGAAATAAATAAATTTCACACAGCAACCATACATGGATGGTAGCTGTTAGTGTAATCTAAGATTCATGTTTCATCCTATTCAAGAATCATCAGCCAAATGTATCTACATCCCACAGTTTTATTATTCACTGATTGATTAATTACACTTCTCAAATCTATGAGAAAATTCAATTAACCAATACAGATGAATTAAATTTCACAGAAGTATATATGTGGTATGTGCTACTTATATCGACATAAGTGGTATATGACGTTAGACAGGAACAGAATGTCTGATAGTAGAGAGACAAGAGGATCGAACAGTAAAGAATGGGAACAGAATGCAATTTGTATGAAAATGCAAGAGCAGTAAAATCTGAGTCATTTTAAGACGATTGATGGACATTTTGCAAATTAACTAGTTACTATATGGTTCTCATATTTTATTGAAATGCTCTGTAATTTCTTGCTCATATACGCCCGATTGTCCCCACTGGTGTTCTTGTTCACTACATATATGCCACAAAATAAATTTCTTTAATTTATACATAACTTAATTGAAGTCTACTTCGTATTGTTTGGCTTGTATCTTCCCACTGAGGTTTTAAGACTGCAATTGGTCAGTCTGTTATTGGCATATGTGCATAGTGTGCGTATGCCTCGATATTGCCTTAATTCACAAGGTTTTTGTATGCAATGATGGATAGTGGACTAACAGTGGAATCCAAGACGCGAGTCACTTCGTCCTATTTACGTCTCGTTAGCTGGATGTACCTGCATTTCAGAGTTGATGTTCACTCTGGGACTCACAAGCAAATGGCTATCAGGACTCAGTAGCTGAGTGGATAACGAGATGGCGTTTGAAGCGAATGGTACTGGGTTCGAGTCCCAGAGTGAACATCAACTCTCTTAGGTGCAGGTAAATCCAGCTGACGAGTCCCAAATAGGACGAAACTCGCGTCGTCGATTCCACTGTTAGCCACTATCCATCATTGCTTACAAAAAAATTAATGAAGTCTGTTTAAATAATCCAGATAGTGCGACAGTGTAAAAGATTATTTACGTTTTGATGTTTTACTTTCATTTAACATCTTAATAGAACGAACATCATTAGTTAATTTTTGTTATATGATTATGAGTAACGGTGAAATCTAGGACGCTAAGTGGATAACGCGATAACATTTGAAACGAATGGTACTAGGTTTGAGTCTCGGATCAAGTACATCCAGCTGATGGTTCGCAAGTAGGACGAAACGCGCGTCCCGGATTCCACTGCTAGCCACCATCCATCTTTGCTTAAAATGCTCGTAACTTAAGTCAATATCGAGGCAGTTCTCACAGGATGCATATATGTTAATAAGAGAGACTGATCAATGTCAATCTTAAATAACAATGAGAAGATTCAAGTAAACAATACCAAGTGAATCTAGAACAAAATAGTAATACAGTATTTCTTCTTGAATCTTCCCATTGACGTGCAGGACTGCAGTTGATCAGTCTGGATTCCACTGCTAACCACTATTCATCTTTACTTAAAATGCTTGTGACTTAAGGCAATATTGAGGTGATTCGTATAGGATGTATATATACCAATAAGAGAGACTGATCAACTGCAGTCCCGAACATAAATGGGAAGATTCAAGTAAACAATAATATTAAGTGAATATGATAATAATGTTTAGAATATTCCATTACTGTTTCCAATATAACACAGAATTCATTGCATTACTGTATTATAATAATTAATTCTACAAATAAGCTATATGGCTATGTAGAGCTGAAGGTCTCATATAAGACTGGAGGTTCGCCATTCATATTCTGGATGGCTCGACATTACTTTGGTAAGTTTTACTGACTGTTCATGCACAAAACTGGTTTGCTTGCTAACCAATTTCATTCATATTGGTGGTTGCTTTTCAGTGTTCTCAAGGGCCATTGTCACTGGAACACTGTAATGCTTGTCGCCATTGCTAACATTAATGGATTTGACTGTCGTGTAAGCGGAATAGGTCAACTTTGGCCTGTTCATGCTGTCTATAATTGATTCACGCGATTATTGACGTGAATGTGTATATGAATGGTCCACCAGGGCGCTTGGTACCTGTGTGGTTGCGACACAAGGTTAAGCCGTACTGTTCAGATTGTAGCGTTAAAGCCCATACGATGTCTGATTCTCTTGTGAAGCGGGATTGAACTGTACTCTTTGGGTTGTCACGTGAAAGTCTGGATGGTGTTTGGTTCTCTTGAAAACCAATGTAAAATTACCCTGGCCCACAAGGGTATATTATATAACTATAATGACTATGAGTTCTACTGTGAGTTTCTAGACCTAATCTCTTGAACTATGATTTATTCATTTAGAAATGGTTCTAATGGTATCAAACAAATTATGAATGTAATATTATAATGATTATCTAATTAATTAAATACTTTTGTAATTATACTTTATAGTAAAGTACTTGATTCAAGCCATATGATACTTTATATTTCTGTAAGTAAACTTATGGAAGTACAATTTCGAATGAAAGTACATTTTAATGTTCTTATTAAAAAAAAAAGTATTTACAAAGTGATGATTCAATTCATACAAACTTTGGTTATAGCTTTTCTAGAGTTACTGCCGTTTCCAAGCCCAGATATAGGAAGTGCGGTTGGGCATATAAGTTAGTGACTTCATCTCATTTAAACTTATACAAACCTTACTACTTTGCTAAACCTATGACATTTGACTGGTATATGAGCAGTCTAGTGTTCTTATTGATCCTTTATTCGCCTAACTCTATCTGTTGAGTCCAGAACATCAATAACTGCCTCCACTATGCGAATCATTTATTTCAAACATACTTGATTTATATTACCAGCCAAACAGGACCACATCAAACCATGAAATAGGAAATACACATTTATACAAGATCAAACCAAAAAGTGTCTGTGAACGTGGGGGACTGTAATTAATAAACTGAGTATAATTTAAGAATAGTAAATCGTACAATAATAGTTTATAGATCAAAATGAAGAGGAATGTGGATATACACAATCTAGTTACTGAATAATTATACAATAGAAGTATATTTTATTTTAACACATAGATATTGGTACAAGGAGACACCAAATATATATGCGCCACACAAATCTCATTTGATATATGTGAGAGCTGTGATACTGCCCGGGTGCTCAAACTGAAGCAGGGATAGGAACAATAACGGGGCGGGTTTGCATTCATATAGCATACAATTCTTTTTGAACCTAGCACATAACAATAGCATCATGCACTGTCCCATCGCCCTTGGCAGATCAGGCAACCTGAAGGTTACGAGAACACCATCAGGGCATACGAAAGGCTAGGTACCCCATAGGAATATATTGTATAATATTAGTCCATTATTAGGTCTTAGAAGTTACTTGTAATGTAATCTTCGCTGAGATATAACAACTGAGGAAATCAATATGACATTTATAGATGACCTATAAGTGGTTTTTGTAAGCAATGATGGATAGTGGCTAGCAGCAGAATCCACGACGAGCGTTTCGCCCTATTCGGGACTCGTCAGTTGGATGTACCTGCATCTCAGAGAGTTGATGTTCACTCTGGGACTCGAACCAAGTACCGTCCACTCAGCTACTGAATCCTGACAGCTACTTGCTTGTGCTGATCAATTGCAGTCTTATACCTCAATGGAATGATACAAGACAAACAATACTAAGTGAATTATAAGTGGGTTTTGGAGTTGAGTTTAAAGAAATAAATATTCTTGTTATGAGTTTATCATAGCTCTTAGTAGGTTTGGAAGTCAAGAGAATCAACAAAAGACGTGAAAAGATTAAGTTATTATCTTTGGACAAATGAAATATGATTAAAAACTAGTTGGAAATGTTAATAGTTGAATTCATGAATCGATGTAAACTGGATGCACTGGACGACCATTTCATCCTAGAAGCCGTGACCAGTTGAGTTGATCACGTATCTGATAAGGACAGGTATCTAACTCAGAAAATAGATTAGTGATTGCGGAAGATTATGGATCGATTGAAGTTAGACATTCACACTGTTCTTTGCCAGCTTAGTCGACTAGAGGTTATGCGTTCGCGTACAGGACCAAAGGTCTTCATTAGTTCAAGTCATGAGTTCTGGATCGTGGAACGCACTGCTGAGAAGTCCCATACTAAGATGGAACGGTCATTCATTGCTTTCAAGTTTTTAATGGTAGTCTAGCTTACATCAACTCATGAATTCAACTACTAAAATCACTACAATCTTCGTAAACTCCCATACTAATAGTTCAAAATTTATTGTTTTATGTACTATGAATGATAATGGAAAAACTGAATTATAAAACAAAAACGATAATCCATTTATTTTAACTTACCTTCAAGACATCTGTTAATAGATTATCTCTTCCTTTTTTTATTCCTATAGACGTGGATACTTGACAAGGTTTGGATGTATCTCTAACATCTATTTTATTAACTTCTGAAGGTATTTGAGGTAGTTGACGTTTATAATATTTAACACTTCGATTCGAATGAGAATTTCCATTGATTGGCTGAACATCTGGTAAACAAGCGGTCCAAATAGTCTTGATAAAAGAAAAGTATAACAATAAAGTACAATATATGATGTATTACATTTAAATATTATAAAATATACTCAAAAACGGTTGAATGACAAGTCTCAAAATAGGATGAAATACGCGTCAAACTGGATTCCACTGCTAACACCACTATCCATCTTTGTTTATAGTACTTGTGAATTAAGGCTATTATGAGGCAATACGCATATTATACACATATGTCAATAAGAAACTGATCAATTGCAAGCCTAAACATCCATGAGAGGATACAAATAAACATTACCAAGGTTGGATAATAAGAGTTTAACTGTTATAGTTGATTATAAAACTCTTGTTTATAGACTGATTTGATAAGTTTGATAAATCAACAGAGAAATGGAAAATAATGGAATTACTGGTTAATTGGACATCCTATTATATAGACACAAGAAAGCTGTGATTCTTATACTCTAAGTTGGAAAGAAACTAAACAACTAAGATTCATAGTCACTTAGTGTTTTGTTTTAGTTATATCTTTCCATTATTATTTAAGAATGGAATCGATCAGGCTCTTGTTGGCATATGTGACCCCATTGTACAGGCTAGCGGATATCAGGACTCAGTAGATAATTGGATAACGCGATGGTGTTATAAACGAACGGTACTCGATTTCAGTCCCAGAGTGAGCATCAACTCTGGGATGCAGGTACATCTAACTGATGAGTCCCAAATAGGACGAAACACGCGTTAAACTGGATTCCACTGCTAGCCACTATTAACTAATATTCAGTTTCACAAAAATGATTGTTTAAAGATATTTGATAAGAACGAAGCTTTAAAATAATAAAAGGTACTATCTATTAAACAGATATTGAGTGAATAAAATATTGTCTAAAATATGGTTGATTTATAAGATGATGTATCTAGCTATTTCAATGAAAGTCATTTGTACCTTGCTCTAGGAAGTGTATAGCGGTATTTTCTAAATTTGACATTTGAAATAGTTAACTCTTTATTACAGGTTTTTACAACATTCTGTTAAATAAATCTTTCAATAATTGAAATCATGAGTTAATTGAAGCTAGATCAACATGGAAAACCTGGAAGCACTAGACGGCCGTTCTGTCCTAGTATGGAACTCTTCAGGAATGCGCAGCCACAATCCCCCCCTGACGAGATTCGAACACAGGATCTATCAGTCTCGCACGCGAGCGCTTAACCACAAGACCACTAAGTTGGCTGGCATCCAACAGTGTTAATGTTTAACATCAACCAATTCATGAAATTGAGTGACACATCCACCATTGTCTTCGGTGAGCTGATATTTCATAACAGACCTGGTTGAACTCTAATAGTCACGGTTTCTCACTAGAACTCCAGGAAATACTTCTTGAAGTCAGTCATTAGTGATCAGATGATTATTATGAGAAGGGGTTTTGTAGAGATTTCAATAATTTCAATAGTTGAGTCAATTAAATCTAAACCACCATGAAAAACCTGAAAGCACTGAACGGTAGTTTTGTCCTAGTATAGGACTCCTGAGCAATACAGATCCACAATCCCGCTCGCGAGATTCTAACCCCAAACCAAACGGTCTCATGAGTGAACGCTTGATCTCTAGATCTTACTTCACCTTTTGTAACTTAGAGAAATCTTTACCAATCAAGCTTCAAATTTAACTTAATGGTAATGTGTTAATTATAGTTGTTTTGTATGGAGTACATATCAAATTATATTTCATAAACATTATGTATATATACAACAATATAGTAAATAAATGATTGATTTATACCTTAGGTAAATCTAATAATTCTTCCAAGTTCTTATTAACCATACCATTAGAATATCCACTAGTATTCCCACTTTTATTGATCAATTTATTCATCATTAAATTTCTTGGTATACTATTATAAACTGTAAAATCTGAAGGATCAATTGTTTTCCTATGTTCTTTTAAATTAGAATAATAATTTGGTCTAAGTATAGCTGCAGCAATTGATGGTGCTGGACTAGGTGTTTCACTTCTTATTGTTGTAAATAAATCCTCTTCATCATCATCTTCTACTTCGACTACTACCTCTTCTTCTTCTTCTATTTCAGATCTACTCTCTTCTTCGTTCATATTAATCAAATCATTTCCTTTATTAGTTACATTTTGTAATTCATTTATAACATTGATAGATTTTGATTGATTATAATGATTTGATTTATATAATGGGGAAATATGATGAACTGATTCTTGTATATAAGGTATAGTTGAAAAGTCTGTTGATTTATATAATGCAGAATTTGATCCATATGGTAATGTTGATATAGGGCTTATAAAAAGATAAAATTGGTAAGAAAATAACAAAATCTAAATAAAGATATATACATATATTAAAACGTGTTTATTAAAGTGTGAGATTCAACTAGAAAAAAACACCAGGGTTTCGTGCTACTTCTCATTCGTCTCAACATAGTGCACGCAATGTTGAGTCACCTAGACTATTGGTCACTTTGCAACTTGGTTAAACTAAGAGGGGCTTGACACACATGACATTGATCATCATCCAGTGATCAATCAATTGTGCTTATGAAAACAATTTCACGTTATTTTTACCTACTCATAAGTAGTTTAAAAAAATAAAGTAAATTGTGATATTGAATCATATAACACAGTTCCTATATAATAAATTCAACGACAGAATTGGATTCGTACTAAGATCAATAAAACATGAGAATAGGTACTGTTTGAAGATCGATTGATATAAAAATCTTAATCATACAGGAAGTTTGTAGTGATCATAACAGTTCAATGATAACATCGTAGGCTTTGATGCTAATTAACATAGATTAAAATTCATAAATTATCTTTGGTAATCACGAAGAAACAACCAAGGAATGTTGAAATATCCTGTTAAGGTTTATGACGTTTATTAGGTCAAGTAGAATGAATTTGGACAACATTTTTTTCCATTTAAATACTAAAGCTGTATGTGTGAAATGAGCTATTTTTTCTGATTATCATATAATCTTTTCGGTAATACTGTGGTGTGTGCTACTTATATCGATATAAGTAGTATATGATGTTAGTCAGGAACAGAATGTCTGACAGCAAAGAGACAAGAGGATCGAACGGGAAAGAATGGAAACAGAATGCAATTTGTATGAAAATGCAAGAACAATGAAATCTGAGTCACTTTAAGACATCTAACGAACATTTTGCAAATTAAGCATTTACTATATGGTTGTTAGATTTTAATAACAACTCATGTAAGCTTGAGTTGAATGCATTCGATTTTCTCCGCTCGTATTCTGTTAACTACAATACCATCTAACCAAGAAGCACATTTTAATTTCATGTTATGACTGTACAAATCCATTGAATCAGCCAAATCAATGACAACAATGTGAAACTCCAGGTATATACGATTACGTTGAATTGATACTTTAATCTCTATGGGAAATAAAGAAACATTAATGTTTTAATAGTTGAGGTCATGAGTCAGTTGAAACTAGACAACCACGGAAAACCTGGAAGCCCTATATGGCCGTTTCGTCGTATTGTGGGATTCCTCAGCAGTGCACATCCACGACTCCGCCTGGTGGGATTCGAAATCAGGAACTATCGGTCTCGCGTACGAACGCTTAACCCCTGGATCATTGACTTAGCCTGTATCCAACAGTGTTTATGTCTAACTTGAAAGAATTCGCGAAGTCATGCCACAGTCACCATTATCTTCAGTGAGTTACTATCTGATAACAGACCTGGCTGAACTCCCTTGGTCACTACTTCTTACTAGAACTCCAGGAAATACCTCTTGAAGTCAGTCACTAGTGAGCATATGTTATCAGCTTCAATGTATCACCTTTCATTTCATGGTTAATATACTTTAAGACTAGTAAATGAATTATTAGTTTTGTACACATATCTATTGCGTTTGATAACTAATTGAATATTTTGTAGTTGTTATTCGTGTACTATCTCTAATGATTAACAACACGATCTGGAATTATTGCTAATTTAAGTTTCTATATGAAATACTGAAACATCGCTTGTAGCACTCCCATAGTTACTGCCGTTCCCAAGCATGGGTAAACGTGAAGGGTTGGACATAGGGTTGGTAACCCTATCCCGTAGAAAACTAAATCCCTTAAAAAACGATAACCAGAAACATAAAATACTGAAATAGATAAATAGTTATGCATATCTATTGAGTAGATTATTATTTAACTAATATATAATTGGTCTAGGATGCAGTTGTCTACGCAAAATACTTCAGATCCGTTTGCCAGACACTAATAGCAACAACCTGCTGTTGGAAAGAAAAAAAACCAGATCCCAGCGGAGGAAGAAATCAGGAAGAAGCACTGGAAGTGGATAGGACACACATTGAGGAAATCACCTAACTGCATCACAAGGCAATCCCTCACATGGAATTCTCAAGGCCAAAGGAGGAGAGTAAGATCAAAGAAGAACACATTACACCGGGAAATGGAGATAGACATGAGTAAAACAAGAACAAGAATTGAATGGAACAACAAAAGAAAGCCCAAGACAGAGTGAGTGGGTGGGAGAATGCTGGTCGCCGACCTATGCTCCATTACGAGTAACCGGCGTAAGTAAGTAAGTAAGTAAGTAAGTAAGTAAGTAAGTAAGTAAGTAAGTAAGTAAGTAAGTAAGTAAGTAAGTAAGTAAGTAAGTAAGTAAGTAAGTAAGTAAGTAAGTAAGTAAGTAAGTAAGTAAGTAAGTAAGTAAGTAAGTAAGTAAGTAAGTAAGTAAGTAAGTAAGTAAGTAAGTAAGTAAGTAAGTAAGTAAGTAAGTAAGTAAGTAAGTAAGTAAGTAAGTAAGTAAGTAAGTAAGTAAGTAAGTAAGTAAGTAAGTAAGTAAGTAAGTAAGTAAGTAAGTAAGTAAGTAAGTAAGTAAGTAAGTAAGTAAGTAAGTAAGTAAGTAAGTAAGTAAGTAAGTAAGTAAGTAAGTAAGTAAGTAAGTAAGTAAGTAAGTAAGTAAGTAAGTAAGTAAGTAAGTAAGTAAGTAAGTAAGTAAGTAAGTAAGTAAGTAAGTAAGTAAGTAAGTAAGTAAGTAAGTAAGTAAGTAAGTAAGTAAGTAAGTAAGTAAGTAAGTAAGTAAGTAAGTAAGTAAGTAAGTAAGTAAGTAAGTAAGTAAGTAAGTAAGTAAGTAAGTAAGTAAGTAAGTAAGTAAGTAAGTAAGTAAGTAAGTAAGTAAGTAAGTAAGTAAGTAAGTAAGTAAGTAAGTAAGTAAGTAAGTAAGTAAGTAAGTAAGTAAGTAAGTAAGTAAGTAAGTAAGTAAGTAAGTAAGTAAGTAAGTAAGTAAGTAAGTAAGTAAGTAAGTAAGTAAGTAAGTAAGTAAGTAAGTAAGTAAGTAAGTAAGTAAGTAAGTAAGTAAGTAAGTAAGTAAGTAAGTAAGTAAGTAAGTAAGTAAGTAAGTAAGTAAGTAAGTAAGTAAGTAAGTAAGTAAGTAAGTAAGTAAGTAAGTAAGTAAGTAAGTAAGTAAGTAAGTAAGTAAGTAAGTAAGTAAGTAAGTAAGTAAGTAAGTAAGTAAGTAAGTAAGTAAGTAAGTAAGTAAGTAAGTAAGTAAGTAAGTAAGTAAGTAAGTAAGTAAGTAAGTAAGTAAGTAAGTAAGTAAGTAAGTAAGTAAGTAAGTAAGTAAGTAAGTAAGTAAGTAAGTAAGTAAGTAAGTAAGTAAGTAAGTAAGTAAGTAAGTAAGTAAGTAAGTAAGTAAGTAAGTAAGTAAGTAAGTATGTAAGTAAGTAAGTAAGTAAGTAAGTAGTATATCAATTGAAATGATAAATATATCTCAAAATGATAATGTAATACAATAATTACCGATTTTTAACATTATTTCTATCCGTATAAATAGTATTGTTCCAATCAGCTGGTTTTATTGAATATTGTTTCTGTGGTAGAGTATCATCAATTATATATCCGTTATCAATTCTTTTGTTTGGATGAACAGAATAATATTTGTCATTAGTTGTATTATACTTCTCTATATGTATAGCCTGTTAATAAGTTACGAATAAAGTTTAATGAATATAGAATTGTAATAACAAAAGTTGAACAAATTACTTTCATTAATCAGCAGTGATGGATGTTGGCTAACAGCGGGATCTATTGTTGACATTCTATTGTCGATTGGATCAATAAAGACGTTAAGCTGCCCATACCAGTCGAACATCATTGATTTAACACAGTACTAAGATTGAATAAGTTGTATTTGGATTGTCGAATAAATCATGTGATATCTAGTCGGGCTAATTATAATCACAACATCATAACATTCTTCGATATTCACAAAGTGAATTAGAGTGTTCTTTATTATCTAAAGTATACAACTATAGGTTTACTCTTTGCGAATAAGATGATGGTTGGTATATCTAATAGGTTTCTATTTGACTAGAGCTTACAATATTTAGAACAGTAGTTATAATCAGCATAGAAATTCGTGGAGAATATTGAATATCATTGAGATCATGAACCGATCCAGTTTACATATATACATATCTCGTAAATCAAAATTAAGTGATGTTATCAGTTCAGTTGAATACATAGAGGCTCATAAAAAAAAGCATAATAATTCAGGGCATAAATTTGATATATGAATATTTCAGTATACAAGAAATAACCGATGGTTTCCAAATATCCTATGCATTTATCTTCGGAATTGAGTACTTTAAAAAAACGATTTCATTCTCACTGTTTAAAGACATCATTGAATTAACCAGTCAGTCAGCTATAACATAGGACCAGGCACATATATATGCATCGATCCAAGTTGCCATACCTATTAAGTACAGTAAGATGAACACCGGGTTCATAGTAGTTAATTCAGAGGTGGTAATATATAAAAGAAAGATCGTATATAAGGATATAGTACAGGAAGAAAGAATTAGTTCGTAGAAAGAAGGATATGAAGTGATTTCAAACTCATGGTTTAAGGGAAGACAGGGAGTGTATAAACCGACGCCATTGTGATCGATTCTGAGCCATGTCACCAAGAGTCTCAAAGCATTAGTTACGATAGTCATGAGGGCCCCAACCAAGTGGTCTGCATTTACCAACATGGATCAGACCAGAAGTTAGAAGGGACAAAGTCTTTGTTGTGGATGCGGAGGAATAGACCAATAATTATGATGTTAAGTCCAATGGTGTCCTTGGACTTTAAATGAACATTTCCTATTGGTCGATATCTGTTCACTTGTTGAATATTGTACAAAATGTTGTTTTCTATTTTATGGTACGATGTGGTATGCTTGATTGGTATATAAACAAAGTATGTTTGAAATATAATGATTCATATCTCAGAGGTTGTGACTTGTGTTTCTTGACTCAACTGGCTGGGACAGACAGCGAAGCAGCGCCATTCAGGGCACTAGGTCGTCCACGTACGTGTTCACCGTGTCACTGTGATCGATCGATAAATACGCTGCGTATCACAAAACCTTCAGTCACACATACGTTACAACAGTCTTCAAGGACATATATCATATTATTTACTACTAATTATCTTATCTGATCATTGGAGTGTCAAGTTTCAGAAATCTATTTTCGTTTCTTCTTGAAGAACTCATACCTTTTACATTGTCGAAACATAGAGTTGGCCAAATTAACAACAACAACAACAATAATAATAATAATACTTGACACCCCAAAGATGATTAATCAACATTCAGTAATCAATAAAAGTTATAACTCAAAAAAAAAAGAAAATGAATACATACATTTCCTTCCATTATTTTATTCAAACCTCCAATTCCACCATTATCAACATCTTCATCTTCATGACTACCTTGACTAATTGTTGGTAGCATTATTCTTTGTGATGTAGAATTTAAATAATCAGGAATCAATACTTTGGATGTATTCAATTTTGATGTTTGATTTGATTGTAAATGATCATTAGAAATTAATGGTAACTTTTTATCCGTTGACTCTAATGAAGGTTTGTATGGCTGTGATAATTTTTCACGTTCATTACATTGTGAAACTTCTGAATGACGTCTTGAACTACCTACTCGTTGTATAACATTTTTTACTGAGTCTAACAAACTATGATGCTATAGAGTATGAAAATATAATGAAAAGAAAACTTTAAACTCAAAGAATTTATAATAATTATGTGAAAAGACAAATATGGATATAGGGTTATTGATTGAGATTATAAACCGAATGATGTTAGATAACCATTGAAAATCTAGAAGCACTGAACCAGTGGAGCTAATCCATGTCGTGTAGAGACAGGTATCTACCTCAGTAAAATGGAAGATCGTCACCCAATTTTGTGGATTGGTTAAGGTTAGATATTAAAACCGTTGGATGCCGGTCAGCTCAATGGTCTAGTAGGCCGAGCGTTCGTGCGCGAGACTGAAGACCCTGGGTTCAAATCTCGCGAGAAGAGATTCTCGATGCTCACTACTGAGGAGTCTCACAATAGGACAAAACAGCTGTCCAGTGCTTCCCGATTTAATAGTGTAAATCATCTGACAAATTAGATTTTCTGTTTTTTGTTTTAGGGTTATTGACTTTACATTGATCAATGGTGAATATCAACATTAACATGATAATATACTGTGAAGAATTTAATTCCATAATGTTGGATTATTGAAGGCTAGAAAATACAGGTCTGTGGTAGTTTAGGGATCATTTAATGAGCCAATTAACTTACAGTCGTTACCTTAAAACATAATAAATGTAAATTATTTACTAAAATGTGGGAATTTTAAAGTCAAAGAATGAGGATAAAACCAAAACAACGTCATTTAGTAGCATTTATGATCAAAGAAAACAACAACAACAACAACATCCAATCACTGGATTTTGACTAGTTTGGTTATATAGTTGAATTCATGAGTCAATTAAAGCTAGACCACCATGAAAAACTCAGAAACACTGGATAGCCGTTTCATCCTAATATGGGACGTTTCAGCAGTGCGAATTTACGATATCACCTGCGGGATTTAGTTCATTAACCTGGAAAGTCATATCATCATAATAGTTGAAGAATAAATGATCAGTTAGTACTATTATTGTAATTTACTTTAATGAAATTTATTCAGTAATCAGTTGGTTTAAATAACTGAATGCTTGACGATACTATAATTTATGGATGAACCAATCAGTTATAGAATAATAGATCTCTCATTTTGGCGCAAAATTCATTCATCCATTTGACTAAATGAAGTTTTGGCATTGTCGCTGATGTCGGTTCGTGATAAAAACCCTAAATCTAATTTTTAACCTTAATCATCAACTGTATATCATAATTCGAATTCCTCACCCTAGTTTATAACCCTCAGTTAGTCTTAGTTATTAGGTGGATACACTCTCAAGGACAGTCTAGCGTCGCTCAAACGCTGTCCATAAATTATAGTCTCACCGAATGCTTTAATCATTTATCAAAAAAGAGAATGTTATAAAATGAAAATCAGTCAGTCAGTAACAACGCAGAACTTCGTACGTACGTACATCAGTTCAAGTTGCCACACCACATTAGCACAGAGATTCAAATCCCCCGCTTCGGATTTCCTATAGATTTTTCAACTTCGTCAAGGGTCGGAGGACCTACATTAACTTGCCATTCAGGTTGACTAGAGATCTTAAGAAACCGAAGTGTGGCTGAAAACCATTTGAAATGATCCCTAAAGTGTTTTATCCATCGATCCCATCGCTATTAGCCACCGATGGAGGGGTTCGATAGAGGACTGTCAATCATTCTGGAGCACATGCTTAGATTCAGATCATACTATAGTGCGAGCGCGTATTTGCCTTCTTCTTACTGGACGTAGGAAAGACGCTGCAAAGAAACCTCTTAGTCAAGCTAAGAGTATATTTCAGGAACATTCTAGAAACTTATAAAATTTTATCATACAAAAAGATTCAAAATGCATAAAATGTGGATGAGACTATAATTTATGGATGACTTTTGAGTGACTCTAGACTGGCTTTGACAGTGTACACCTATAATAAGCAGTACCAAATGAAGGTTATAAACTAGAGTGATAAATTTGAATTATGATTTACAGTTAATGATTAAGATTAGGAATTAAATTTATGGTTTATCATCATGTTGGGATACTCAGAAGAATATCCCAGAAACAATTATCCGGTTAAGTCTAACGCTACCCCTAAACGTTAAATGGTGTCATTTCCCTATTGGTCGTTTCCCTACTGATCAATATTTATTTCGCGTGTCATTTTCCTATTGGTCAATATTATTTAACGTGTCATCTTTCTGTTGGTCAATATTTATAGTAATCCTAACTGTATAAATATGCATTTGTTTGTAAGTCATTATTCTGCTGCTCCTGACCCCATAAACGATTTTTCATCTACGGTTCGTGTTCTGATACATTGGAGATTGGGAACAGTATTGGGGTCGAACTGGGATATCTGAAGCTTGTCAATTGGTAGAATTTAGAGTAGCCAACTCGCGATTCACAATAAATTTGGCGACGGAGATTTAGCAACAAGTTGGTGATTAACTATGGATCCAGCCAAATTAGAGAAATTGTTCGAACAGCAGCTGAAGCTGATGGAGATGCTTACTCAGACGCACATATCTTCTCGAGTCCCAACTGCACCGACAATTCCTGAATCAGTTGATGGTATTACCAGTGGTATTTCAGAATTTCTTTATGATCCTGATGCCAACATTACATTTGATACCTGGTTCAGACGTTATGAAGACCTTTTCAAAGTTGACTTTGTTGACAGAGATGATTCGTGGAAGGTGCGTCTTCTTCTCCGTAAACTTGGTCCATCCGAGCTGGATAAGTATTGCAACTTCATTCTACCACAGAACCCACGCGACCGTTCATTCGACGCCACTATTCAGTCCCTTAGCCAACTTTTTGGTGATCATCACTCACTCTTCAGTACTCGATATCGCTGCTTAAAACTGGTCATGAATGAATCTGATGACTTCCTGACCCACGTCGGCGTTGTTAACCGTGAGTGTGAACGGTTCAAGCTCAGATCCCTCACTGAAGACCAATTCAAGTCCCTAGTACTCATATGCAGTCTTCAGTCACCCAAATTCTCCGACATCAGAACTCGGTTGCTCAACCGCCTTGAACAAGATCCAACACTGACACTTAATGCGATCATAGACGAATACCAGCGTATCATCAATCTGCAGCGTGACACCACTTTGGTTCAATCTGGGGGCCAGGGTGGTTCCGAAGTTCATGCTGTTCAGCACCAGAAAAAATATTCGAGATCGACAAACTCGAGTCCTTCGAACGCCAGCGCTGTTTCTATCTCTAATCACTCTAAACCGGTTCAGAAGAAGCCCCCCTCGCCATGTTGGCACTGTGGAGCCTGGCATTATGTGAAGTTCTGTCCATTCAAACAGCATGTGTGCGATCGCTGTCAGAAAGTTGGTCACAAAAGCGGCTTTTGCAAATCCAACCGATTCAATAACCGTCGAAATGCACAGACGCAGCGTCGTTTTCACAAAAAGCCGATTACCTCATCAAGGAGTTTAGCAGCAGTCTTCCATACCCATGCCGCGACTCGACGCAAATTTCTGACCCTCTCAATCAATGGTCAGCCTGTTCGTTTGAAGTTGGACACTGCATCAGATATCACCATTTTGTCGAAAAAGACTTGGCGAACCTTGGGTCAACCTCCCATCAAACCATCCTCTCAAACAGCCGTCAGTGCTTGTGGGGGTCATCTCCGCCTTCATGGTGAACTCTGTTGCTGTATTTCATTCAGAGGTACAACCTTCAATGGGACATGCTACATCACCAATTCTCCGCTCAACCTTTTAGGTTTAGATTGGTTCGAAGAACTTGGTCTCACTGATCTTCCTATTAGCGCTGTCTGCAATCAAGTCCAAACTACTGCTTCTACACAACAGCATGCTGAAGACCTTCGAAAACGATTTATTGAAATATTATTGAAATAAATCCAATGGTTCCATACGCATCTGTGCAGACTTTTCTACAGGACTCAACGCGGCTCTACAACAGCATCACTATCCGCTGCCGATCCCAGATGACTTATTTACTATTTTAAATGGTGGTACCTATTTTGCTAAGCTGGATCTGGCAGACGCTTACCTTCAAATTCCAGTCGCTCTAGAATCCAGAGAGTTGTTGACAATCAACACTCACCGAGGACTTTTTCAGTATACCCGGTTACCCTTCGGTATCAAAACTGCTCCAGCGATCTTCCAGCAGATCATGGACACTATTCTGGCAGATGTTCCTGGTGTTGCTACATACCTTGACGATGTGCTCATTGTCGGCTCAACTGTTGATGAATTGCATACCAGAACCCATTTAGTTCTGCAACGTCTCCAGGATAATGGTTTTCGCCTTCGCCCAGAAAAATGCCAATTCTTCTTACGTTTCGTTAAGTACCTGGGGTTTATCTTTGATGCTTCCGGACGACACCCTGATCCTCGAAATACGTACGCAATCCAACAAATGCCTGCTCCCACTGATGTCTCCTCACTCCGATCATTTTTGGGGATGATTAGCTACTATTCAGCATTTCTTCCATCACTGCATGACGTACGATATCCATGAAATCGTCTGCTAGAAAAGAATGCTACTTGGAATTGGTCAACGCAATGTGAATCAGCTTTTTCAAAACTTAAAGCCATGCTAAGTTCCAATCTTCTGCTAACCCACTACAATCCGAAACTACCCATTGTGGTTGCTGCTGACGCTTCAACACATGGACTGGGTGCCGTAATCTCACATGTCTTTCCCGACGGGTCAGAGAAAGCGGTGATGCACGCTTCGAGAACACTAACACCTGCTGAGAAACGCTACGGCCAGATAGAGAAGGAAGCGTTAGCCCTAATTTTTGCTGTCCGGCGATTCCACAAATTCATTTATGGGCGCCGTTTCACCTTGCTCACAGACCACAAGCCGTTGTTATCAATCTTTGGATCAAAGAAAGGCATTCCTGCCCATACGGCTAATCGTCTTCAACGTTGGGCGTTGGCGTTATTGGGGTACGACTTTGACATTCAGTATCGACGTTCCGAAGATTTTGGTCAAGCGGATGCACTGTCCAGACTTATCAGTAACCATTCTACCACTGATGAGGACACACTCATAGCCACAGTATCAACCGAAGAGGATTCTGGTGCTACACTATTGGCGAATGCCGTTCGAGCAATGCCTGTTACCGCTGAAGATGTTCGGGAAGCTACCAGAGAAGACCCGATTATCCAAGAAGCGATCACCTATGTTCAGAGCAGATGGCCAGTTAAGCAGCTGAGTGGTGATATGCAACAATTAGCGAATCGTCGCAGCGCTCTTTGTATTGTTAACGATTGTCTGATGTTCGGTGATCGCGTAGTAATTCCAACAACCCTACGTTCCAAAGTCCTACGCCAATTCCACTCTGGACACCCAGGGATAAACCGTATGAAATCCATCGCTCGAAACTATGCATATTGGCCAAATATGGACAAGCAGATTGTCGACTTCGTCAAAAGATGTTCACATTGCCAAAAAGCTGCGAAAAATCCTTCTAAGTTGCCTCCAGTGCCCTGGCCGAAGTCAGAAAAACCCTGGTCGCGAGTGCATATTGACTTCACCGGACCCCTAGATGGTACCACATATCTGATACTGGTTGACTCACACTCCAAATGGCCGGAGATATTGCCGATTGCGCCACCCTCGACAACTCGAACCATCAAACTTCTTAATCAGATCTTCGCTCAGCATGGTCTTCCAGAAACAATAGTAACAGACAATGGTTCACAATTCACATCTAGCCAATTCCGAGAATTTTGCCTGCAAAATTCGATCAACCATGTTCGTTCTCCGCCATATCACCCGCAATCTAATGGACAAGCTGAAAGGTTCGTCGATACATTTAAACGAGCCATGCTTAAAGCACGAGGGGAGGGGACCACAGAAGATATCATAGAACGATTTCTAGTTGCGTACCGGACGACCCCGCATGACTTACTGCCAAACTCCAAATCCCCTGCTGAGATGCTTATGGGGCGAAAGCTACGGACAGTTCATGGTGCGATGAAACCCAAGCAAGTGGCCCAGCAAAGCCCCCAGATGAAGAATACTCGAATTCCCTACGAAGTTGGTACAAAAGTGTATGCGCGAGATTATAGACATGGATGTGATAAATGGGTAGAGGGTGAAATCACACAAAAACATGGGAACGTCATGTGTGATGTCAAGGTGAACCAAGAAATCTGGACCAGGCACCACAATCAACTCAGGTCAAGGGAAGCGAAGGAGAAAGAAGCAATTACAAAGCACGTCCCACTCGACTTGCTGTTGGACACGTTTCAACTTCCGCCAATACCTCCAACAGAGACGACTAAGTCATCTACTCAAGTAGAACATCCTTCTGGTTCTGTGTGTTTGCCTCGGAGGTCGGATCGCAAAAGAAGACACCCAAAGAAACTTCAAGTAAACCCTCGGTTACGTCGCTATTAACTTCTCCAAAGGGGAGGTGTTGGGATACTCAGAAGAATATCCCAGAAACAATTATCCGGTTAAGTCTAACGCTACCCCTAAACGTTAAATGGTGTCATTTCCCTATTGGTCGTTTCCCTACTGATCAATATTTATTTCGCGTGTCATTTTCCTATTGGTCAATATTAATTAACGTGTCATCTTTCTGTTGGTCAATATTTATAGTAATCCTAACTGTATAAATATGCATTTGTTTGTAAGTCATTATTCTGCTGCTCCTGACCCCATAAACGATTTTTCATCTACGGTTCGTGTTCTGATATATTGGAGATTGGGAACAGTATTGGGGTCGAACTGGGATATCTGAAGCTTGTCAATTGGTAGAATTTAGAGTAGCCAACTCGCGATTCACAATACATCACCAAATGACATCAGCTCTAATGTCAAAACTCTATTTACCCTGATGAATGAATGAATGAATAACGCGCCAAAATTTGAGTACCTGTTATCTTATACTTGATTGGTTCATTCATAAATTATAATCTCACCAGAGTTTCTTTAAAGAAATAAACAAAACTGTAAATTATTGAAAAGAATTAGTTTATTAAATAATAATAAACATTTATTATGTATTTCATACTAACCGTATCCCCATCACCAAGGCTACCAGAACTTCCACGTTTACTTGTTTCTTCAGATGGTGGTAATAAAATATTCATTGAAGTATTTTGTGTTTCAAGAGAACTAGTTGTAGGTTTTCCAAAACTCTATTATTTTTAAAGAAAATGAATTATACATCATTATAAGATGAAAATCTAATTTAATTATCTTAGATCTTTCTTTTTATAAAATGTAACATACTACTAATAATAATATCAATAACTTAGTGACTAATGAATAAAATGTTGTCTAGAATATTATTCAGTATGGAATATGATTATGTTTTTATCTATTTGAGTAATGTCTGTTGTGATTTCAATAGTTAAGATCATAAGTCAATTGAAGATAGAACATCATGGAAAACCTGAAAGCACTGGATGGTCGTTTCATCCTATTGTGGGACTACTTTTCAGCAGTGCGAATCCACAACCTCGACTCGTGAGATTCGAACATATGCTCACTAGTGACTGGATTCAAGAGGTATATCCTTAAGTTCTAGTGAGAAACCGTGACCAGTCAAGTTCAACCGGGTGTGTTGTGAGATAATAACTCACTGATGACAATGGTGGATGTGTTGCTCAATTTCGTGGATTAGTTGAAGTTAGACATTAACACCGTTGGATGTCGACAGGTTCAGTGGTCTAGTGGTTAAGCACTAGCACGTGAGACTGACAAGTCTTGGATTCGAATGTCACGAGGTGGGATTGTGGGTACGTACTGCTGAGGCGTCCTACATTAGGACGAAATAGCCGTCCAGTGCTTCCGGGTTTTCCATGGTGGTCTAACTTCAATTGACTAATGATCTCAGCTATTAAAATTACTATAATACCCACAAAAACATCCCTTTTAACATCCATATTTTTGTTTCTAAAGTCTAAAAGAATTCTGGGTATCATCCAAATAAAAGCTATCAATCTAAAGATACTGAAATCCTTCATATAGTGTCTTAGTTACACAGTTAAGAACATATATATTAGTGTGAGGGGATTTTTGTGGAGATTTTAAGGTTTTCACAGTTTAAACTACGAAGTGTACATAGCTAGACCACCATTGAAAACTTGAAGGCATTGGATGACCGTTTCATCCTCATATGGGAATTCTCAGTATCGTCCACCTATGATTATGCAACCGGCAATTATACGCAGGACCTTCAGTATCTTGAGCGAATACTTAACCTCTAGATTCTCGAGCCGGTATTCAATGCAGTTATTGTTTAACTTTAATCAAAACACAATATGGAGCAACCTTCATCCATTGCATGTGGTGGATAATTGTTCAACATTCGACACAATTAATCTGCACTAATCACGGCTTCTCATTAGTGATCCAAGTGTTAGATTTTAAGCACATGATCACTGTTACTCTTAGGGGGGTTTCACGGAAATCTTAAAAGTTTTATAAACTTGATCACAAATATGTCATATCTTACCTCCATATAAATTTTTTAAAAAAATCATTATTCACTCCCAACACATAAATGATCATATTTTGTTCTTCTATCTTTATTCGATTCGTTTTATTACGTACTAATGAATTGTGTAGTTCATCAATGATGGGCAAACTACTCATCATTTACGTTTAATGATGATATCAATAAAGTAATTATGAACAAAATGTGATTTATTTCAGTTTGGAATGGTTTGTTGCCTTAGATAGACGTAATAAAATATTCTTCAGAGTAATTTGTTTCAAGAAGAATAGTTGTTGATCTTCTAAAATCAAAGTATATCCAATTGATAAGTTTCAAACATGACGGAGCACACCTCCTAGAATCCGCTGACAGCCACATTTCATCTATTAAACCTCATACTTGTTGCACAAGTGAATAGTTATCTGTATTCAGCAGCTAAGTGGATAACGCGATGGGGTTTGAAGTAAACAGTACCGGGTTCACGTCTCAAAATGAACATCAACTAACATCAAGCTGATGGGTTCCAAACAGGACGAAACGCACACCACTATTCATCTCTTCTTATGATGACTTACTACATAGTCATATATTCGAATAATCTAAAAGCGTTTAACCTAATGGTATAAAGAAACTAACTAGGACATACGTAATTTATGTGTTTGTAAACGGTCATAAGGATCTAGCTACTAGTTAATACATAAAAGTATATATATGACATTAGTTCTGAAGAATTCATTGGCACAAACTTACTTTGAATGGCATGATTGAATGTCTTTTCCCCTAGAAGAAAATAATGATTAAAAGAAACGTTACAATGGATGTTTTAAAAACTTAACTTATTAGCAATAAATAAGGGAAATTATGTAATTCAATCATTTTTTACTAATATTAATCAGTAAGTATACTTCAAGATAACTGTGTATCAGATTATAAAACAACATCAGTATAAGGTTGTGGAGATTATTAAGTTATTGATTGAGATCATGAACCGATTGATGTTAGACCACCATTGAAAACCTGAAAGAACTGGATGACCGTTTCGTCCCATTGTGGGACGAATCCTCAGCATTTACGATCCCGCTCGCGGGAAGATGGTCGCACAATTTTGTGGATTAGTTGAGGTTAGACATTAACACCGTTGGATGCCGACTCAGTGGTCTAGAAGTTAAGCGTTCTTGAGCGAGAATGAGGGCTCTGGTTTCAAATCCCGCGAGCGGGATCGTGAATACGCACTGCTGAAGAGTCCTATAGTAAGACGAAATCGCCGTCCAGTGTTTTCAGGTTTTCCATGGTGGTCTAGCTTTGATTGATTCATGAATTCGATTGGTAAATTATTATAATATCCACAAAAACTTTTTTTTAATTGAAATCATTTCTTTTAGTTGTACTCTCATAATTATAATTGTTTGATAAATATACAAGTCTATAGAAAGATACAAGAAATTTCATCATGAAGTGATTTGTGATTTTAAAGGAGATTCCAAGAAGACCGCACAATGATCAAAAATAAGAGAATGATGAAAATAATTTACCGGTTATAATTTAATAGATAATTGTTCACTTGACAGAGATGAAAGAAAATGAATAGTACGGAAAGATCATCACAACTCCTCATGATGGTCGTGAGTTCGATTACCGGATGTACAGTCGTAGATGAGCATTGCAGAAGAGTCACATACCAAAACGAAATAGTCATTTAGCTCATCCATGGCTTTTGATGATGGTTTAAACTGGAACAATTCACGATTTTAATCCAATTCTATAAATTCCTATAACTCACATTGAATATTATTCAATTATCATGATGATTTGGTTTTTCATTTTCTATTAAATCTGTCAAGTAAACAATTATCTATCATATTTCTGACCGGTAAATTATTTTCATCTTATTCTTCTTGAACTCTTTGATCATTGTTCGATCACCTTTAGATAGTTGAAATCTTATCGAAAAGAAAATGTGTTCTTCGTTGAATTCTCTTCATTTCTACTTTTGATTTCATCTTAAATGAGGCAAACGATGTAGTAACGATTGTTATGATGTGAATAAACTCCTGTTATTACTTCGGTCAAGTAATTCAAGTAGTATTGTGGTGCGTGCTACTTATATTGATGTAAGTAGTATATGACGCGATTCAATAACTTAATGTCTGGTAGCAGAAGAAGGGGGAAGATCAATGAAAGAAGAGCGAGAACACAATGCAATTTGTAAGAAAATGCATAAACAATGAAATGTGGGACAATGGATTGATAATTGCAACAGGGACAGTCCGGTTTGATATGATGAATTGATATTTTGCAAATTAACAATTTACTATATGGTTTTTCTTTTTTACCAAGTAATTCTGTTATGTTGGGCTGACAACATTCGATTGGATCGACTCGTGTTCTATTCACTACGGTATCACCTAACTTTTAAAAACTGTAACATGTAATGACGAGAACTATGAAACTAAATAGTAACTAATCAAGATTTGTGATAAATTCTGATCTATGTGTTATAGTTAGTTTATCTTAGGATGAATATCAACAAACGACATTGATTCTTACTTCAATAGATCATATTCAGGATAAAGAGAAGTTAGTTATATAATCAATCAGAGTCATATACAATATCATCAACGTAGTGACTGAAAGTTTTCTTTTTAATTAACTAACTAGCTGAACAAATCTAACATTCTGAATTAAGCTTATTAACATTAGACTTCATCTTGATTAAAACTAGTATTTATTTGAAATAAATACTAGAATTACTGCCCATACTAAGTCTGGGTAAAAGAGGAGAGTTAAGCATGGGGTCAGCAATTTCATATTGTAAAGAAAAATCTTGTTGAAAATAAAACATCAACCAGTTTAAACAATGTAAGTCTTTCTTTGTCGTAACATAATTCAGTTCATTTTATCAAAGACATTACACTATACTATTTAATTGATTAACTCCATGATTGATGAGTCAAAACTGTAGGGAAAATATTATTTTCAGTCAGTCAGCTACAAAGTAGAATCAGGCATATATAAGCATCTGTCAAAGCTTCCATACCTCATCACCACAACAAGATGGACACCAGATTCATAGAAGTAGTTAATTCAATGGTGGTATTATATAAAAGAAAGATTGCAATAAGGATATAGTACAGGAAAAAAGAATTAGTTTGTAGAAAGAAAGATATGAAGCGATCTTAATCTCATAGTTTAAGGGTAGACAGAGAGTGTATACACCTTCGTACGCCATTGTTATCGATTCTGACCAATGTCACCAAAAGTCTCCAACCATTGGTTACGATAGTCATATGGACCCCAACCAAGTAGTCTGCATCTACCAACATGGATCAGACTAGAAGTTAGTGACTTCAAGGACTGATGCCACATTTTGCTTTGGTCACTGCTAACTTTCTTCCATCCATCTCCAACACTAGTCAGCATTTCACGTCATGGTAACCGGTGTTCAGGCATACGTAACACGTGTTCCAACCATCTCAGTCGATGAGAATTCACAACCTCATTAACTGATTTATAATCACTCTCTAATACCCTGGCATCTAACCTCACTATTACTTATCCGGTGATCCCAGTAGACGCCAGCAATATTTCTAAGACATCTGTGATTAAATACAAGTCTAGTTAATGATTATTCAATACAATGTAATCAATATAGTGAATAAAAAAATTCAAGAAAAAATTAGTAAGTTAATATTTGGTTACTTGTCCATGTAATAAAGCTTTTTGTTCTTCAGCTTTTTTTTGTTTCCATCTACGAAACCATTCTTGTATTAAAAAAGTTGCATAAAATTTACCAACTGTTACATCATTATTTCCTATAAACATTGAATAAGTACAAAATAAAGAATAAATAAATAAATGAATGATCATAAATATAGATTAGTTTATAAGGTGGAATAATGACACTATGATGGATTATATCGTAATGTATGACTGCCCCAGAGTTGATGTTCACTCTAGGACTCGAACCTAGCACCGTTCGTATCAAATGTCATCGCGTTATCGTCTTAACTACTGAGTTCTGATAGTCACTTGCTTATGTAATGAGATGAAGTTTAAATTCACATCGTGTTACTGTACTTGTATCTTCACATTGCTACTTAGGACTCGATAGCTAAGTGGATAATGCGATGGTGTTTAAAGCGAACGGTATTCGGTTCGAGTCTCAGAGTAAACATCAACTTTGAGATACAAGTACATCTAACTGACGAGTCTTAAATAATAAGAAATGCATGTTCTGGATTCCACTGTTAGACACTATCAATCTTTGCTTAAAATGCTTATGATCTAAGGCAATATATCAAGGCAATCCGCACAGGATGTACATCTACCAATAAGAGACTGATCAATTGTAGTGTCAAATATCAATGAGAAGATTCAAGTAAACAATACCAAATGAACGTGTTTACATGGTTTTAAATATAAAAATATACAAAAATGTCAATTCATGCCTTTTGTTTTACTAGTAGATATTTCATGGTAAAAACGTGTAAATTACTTAGTTATTGTAATGTTAAACTATGATATTCCCTAGTAATAGACAAATTCTATCAATAAGGTAGGGGGTATAAGAACAATTATACTAATTGATTTGACATGACAATCATCACATATGACAATGAGGAACTGAAAACAATTAAACAGAAGCTTTTAAAAGTATATTACACAGACTGTTTCTACTTATAAGTAGTATGACTAAATATTGTTTATTCTAAAATTCCAATTTCTATTAATAATAAACATCAATAGATTATAATCTGTTGAATTTGTTTTATGGTGTTATCATAAAATTAGTGAGTAGTAGAAATCATGAGAAAAACCATGAAATATACTGATCAGTTAGTTACTTTTACTGATCTGTGGTCCAGTAGGTTAAGCGGTCGAGCGCGAAACTAAAGGCCCAGGGTTCAAATCTGGCGAGGAGAGATCGTGGATGCGCACTGCTGAGGAATTCCATACTAGGACGATACGGTCATCCAGTGCTTTCAGGTTTCCAACGATGGTTTAACACCAGTCAGTTCATGATCTCAATCAAAGATTCAAACTGTCTATATATTTGTAACAAAATGTTGATTTATATATTATACTACTGATATTTTTAACATCAACTCCGTATTTGTCCTAAATTAATTTTAAAAAATTTCCACCCAACATACAAAAAGATGAACAGTTCATAGATTCATTTAGCCTAGCTCATTATAATCTGTTCATATATCTACTACTTTACAAGGAAACCTTTACTTTCCTTTTGATTATAAATGAAAACTATGAATTTTCAATAGACTATTTGATTTTTATTACTGATTTAATGTAACAGATGCGTAATCTAATGATCTCTAGTTTTCATTGATGTAAGCGAAGAGATGAGTTTCCTAATAAAGCTCATTTGGATTAAATTGTATCAACATATAAACATATAAACTACATGTATAAGAATTTACTCTAGCACTCAAATACCCTGGTACTGCCCCTAAACTCCCTAGTACGGTTGAGAGTGGGGAGAGTCAGCTCTTCTACTGGAAATGTTCTCACATGAACACGTGCATACAACCCTTCGTCAAAGAAATCCTACTCTATACCTCCTCGCAGCATTACTGTTGCTTACGAAATTGAGAGGACAAAAAGCGAATGTCCGGCCCTTTAACCTGGTCGATGGACACAGAACGTTCACTTAGAGGAGTTGGAAAACCCCGATTCCAAATCAACAGTGTACATAGACTCCAGAATTTTGAAGGAACAAATGACGTATCAACCAATTGTTTGTTACCAACTACCATGGGACTGAATCTCTTGACGTTGCTCCACTACTTTGTGGATCAGAATCTGAGGTCGAAGGCTCGGAGTTTGACCTCCTAAGAAAACCACCTGTTTCGGTTTAGGCACCCGGGCAGTATACCAGCTCTCACACAAATCGAATGATTTATGTCGCATATACGTATGTGGTGTCTTCTTATACTAATGTTTATATGCTTAAATAAATGATATAAAATTCAATGCTTTTAGCCTCAAAAAACTAATACCTAAATCATATAGATATTTCTATGCAGATTTAGTTATCATTAAATTAAATTAAATTGGTAATCGATAACTGCAATTTCGGTAATCACAATATTAGAACATTCTTTTGATATTCGGTAACAAAGTAGTTTAAGTAACATTATCAATTGGATAAGATTAATTTGACTCATTTCATTAGTAATTCAATTGGGAACAATATAAATTCATTTGGTATTGTTTTATTTATATCTTTCCATTGTTATTTAGGATTGCAATTGATCGATCTCTTTTATGGTATGTGAGTATCCTGTGCGGATTGTCTTGATATAAACTTAATTCACAAGTATCATAAACAAAGATGGATGGTAGATAGCAGTGGAATTCAGTTTGACGCGCGTTTCGTTCTATTTGGGACTCGATAACTGAATGTATCTGTATCTCAGAGTTGATATTCACTCTGGGACTCGAACTCAATACCGTTCGCTTCAAATGCTATTGTGTTATCCACTTAGCTACTAAGTCCTGATATCCACTAGCTTGTACAATGGGATGAAGTTTGAATTCAATTGGTGTTGTTTTGCATGTACATATACTCAGTGAATCAATGAGATTAGAATACTATAAATAATAACAGATTGTCAATTTTGAGTTTCTTGCAATGATTTCCTTATTGTTTGAACGGACATTTATGATGAATCAACCCGTTTGTGGTTTGTTGCAGATATATCTATACGAAGAGGGGTATTTACGCTTGAAAAACGTTAAGCTACTATGCAATAGCACACTATTATGATTAGTAAATATACCATTTATATAATAAGAAAGTTTTTTTATCAAAGTGAGAATCTTCAATACGAACGTCAAGGCAGTTCTATTGTATGCAGCTGAAACTTGTAGAACTACAACAACAACCATCAAGAAAATACAAGTATTTATAAATAGCTGTCTACGCAAGATACTCAACATCCATTGACCGATACTATCAGCAACAGCCTACTGTAGAAGAGAACAAATCAGCTTCCAGCTGAAGAAGAAATTAGGAAAAGACGATGGAAATGGATAGGACATACATTACGCAAATAATCAAACTGCATCACGAGACCAAGCCCTAACTTTTAATCGTGAAGGGAAGCGGAAAAGTGGAAGGCCAAAGAACACATTACGTCGGATAATGAAGCAGATATGAAAAGGATGAATAATAACTGGAAGGAGCTGGAAAGGATTGCCCAGGACAGGGTTGAATGGAGAATGCTGGTGAGCGGCCTTTGCTCCTTCACGAGGAGTAACAGGCGTAAGTAAATAAGTAAGTAAATATGTCAATTATATTAAATGAATATGTAAACCAAACGATTCAAGATTTATTTTTGTGCGCGTAAAGAGTTAGCAAACATAAAACCTTGACGATATATTCACTGCATTACACCATAGTAACTAATATAATATTATTTATTAATCAATCAAATTGTATTCATCTATTGAATTCATTTGAAACAAGGTAAACAAATAATTGATAAATAAAAGTATATATTCAAAATGAATTGATTTATGAACAAACAAAAAAATAGAGAACGGGGGGGGGAGCGTGGGTACATTTCATGCATTTTTAATATTCGATAGTTTGTAAAACAAATCAATTATTACATCATAACTAATCATTAATAAAACTGAAATATATAGTGACTATATTATGTAATTCATTTAGTTAATTCTTGGAAACAAATAAATTTGTCTTATGATCTCAACTGTTGAAATTACTACAATCTCCATAAAACCCCGTTTCTGATATTAATCAACATGTGCTCACTAGTGACTGACTTCAAGAGGTACTTCCTGAAGTTCTAGTGAGGAGCAGTGACCAGTGGAGTTCAACTGGGTCAGTTGTGAGATAGTAACTTACTGAGGATAATGGTGGATGTGTCACTCAATTTCGTGGATAAGCTAAAGCTAGACATTAACAAAGTTGGATGCCGGCCGACTCAGTGGTCTAGTTGGTTAAGCCTCTGGGTTCGAATCCCGCGAGACGAGGTTGTGGGTGCGCACTGTTAAAGAGTCCTATAATAGGACGAAGTGGCCGTCCAGTGCTTCCAGGTTTTCTATTGTGGTCTAGCTTCAACTGACTCATGATCTGAACTGTTGACATTTATTATATATTCTTAATATCAACTTTAAACAATTACAAGCATATAATCTTCAATTCATTGAATGAAACTAAACTCTCTCTTATGATCTAGTAAATGGTTAAAATACAAGTATAATCCATAAAACTATTGTTCGTTATAAGGAAAACAAATACATGGAACTACGGCTGTGATACTGTCTGAGTGCCTAGACCGAAGCATGTGGTTTTCTTAGGAGGCCATACCTGGAACCTTCGACCTAACGGTCTGATCTATAATACAGTGACGTAACGTTATGAGATGCAGTCCTATGGTAGCCGGGTGACTGGCGATTGGTTCATACGCCATTTATTCCTTCAGGATGCTGAAGCCCATATGCACAAGTGATTTGGAATCAGGGTTTTCTAACTCCCCTAGGTATATCCTCTATATCCATCAAGCCGGTTAAAGTGACGGACATTTTTAAATTATTGGAATCTATCATGTGGATAATAGTTTTTTGCAAATTTCTTGTTGAAAAAAATTGCAATCCTATTGTTTTATTTTTAAAACGACTAACCTGTTTTAAACAAAATAATCTGTATATTGAAAATCTCACTTCATGTAAAGAGTAGCCAATCGATTTGATCATATACTAGTAAAGATACCACAAGTATTCGGAGTTTAACAACACCTTAACCAGTAACACCTTTTATAATTGA